TTAATCTTAAGTTTCAAGTAGGCATACAGCACATCTGTTTTCTACATCATTTCTTCATTTTGAGAAGGACCGTCTTTCCCCAAGTAATGAATGAAACGTTGAATCCCTGTATTCTCAACTTTTTCTTCTTCTTTATTTTTATGTTTATTATTTTTTTTATTTGCCATCTTGATCTTGGCACACTGTTAAGTTTCATAAAACTTATTTAAATGCTTTGCCCTCCTAGTCACCCAGATTTTTGCCCCTCGTTTGAGGAGTCCCCATTCGAGCAGAGTGCTTCCTGAGGTTCAAAGTGGTGGTTTTTCTTCTCAGAAAAGAGTGTTTGCCAAACCAGAAGCAGCTTTCCCGTTGACGCTGCCCGCCCTCCGTCTGGTGCCCTTTCTGAATTGTGGGAGCCGCCGAGAAGGAGATAGTGGGCCTGGGCGGGCGGAGAACCCACTGGGACAGGAAAGGACAGGGTGCGCTCACACACCCACAAAGGAAAAAGGAAAACGGAAAAGAACCAGAAATGTGAATTCGAAGTGAGCAGAAGCATAAGCCCCCAGAGGGGCCAGCCTCCGGGGCCCCAGTGCTGGCCCAGCGCGGAGTTACAGCAAGGAGAGGCCGCCTTCAGGCCGGAAGCAGGCTGTCTGAGCAGCCTGAGTCTGAGGAGGGGGTCTGAAGAGAAGCAGTCGGTGTGCCAGCAGAGCCTGGGGCAGTTAGGAGGTTGAGAAGGCAGCTGTGAGCAAGTCCACACAGAGCTTTCCCAGCTGCTCCCTGATGTGGGGCAAACACGTTTTCTGGAGACAGCATGGCCCCTAAATAGGAGGGGACGGTGCTTGGAATGTCCACACCAGGGATGAGGGCTCCCTGACGCGAGAGACAGGAGGAGCCAAGCTTCAGGCCCCATGGACGCTGCTATGGGCAGGGTGGCTTGTGTGCCAGCCCCACCTCACAGCTGAGAACCCCAGGCTGACAGGGGAGCACATTTGCTCTGGGTGAGGTAGGTGGGTGGGAATGAGGCAGAACCTGGATTGGAGCCCAGGGGTCTGAGAAAACAGGGTCTGCACTCCTGTTGACCAGCCATGCTGCGTCCAGTAAATGGCACTCGTCACAGTGTCACCAGCATTCCAGACCTAGGAACACAGGACCGGGTGAAGAGGAGAAGTGGGAACAGGGCCCCCAGCCCGGAATAGTCGGCAGGGAGGCTGTGCCGTCCACCTCTGGTGTACTGAGCACTCCTGTTTGGGAATGCGAGGGGAAGGGCAGCACCGGGAGAGCCTGCCAGGATCCCCCTCCAGGACCGTGGAAGAACCAGGATGGGGCGGGCGTAATCTCCGCTCGGAGGCCTCCGCCTGCATCGGCTCTTCAGCTGACCAGTGCTTGCCTGTGCTTCCGCCTCATCCCTGTCAAACCAGAGACCACTGAAAAGGAGTTTCTGAGTCTGGGCCTGTTTCCAGAAACTGATGAAGTAGGATTACCGCCTCCCCTGTCCACCCCCCAGCACCAAGCCTCCTCGGGGACAGGTGCTGTCTCGTTTTCCTCTTAATCCTCAGTGCATCAGTGCTTGCAGAAGGCTGGCCCCATCATGGCCACTCAGGAACTGCTGGCCGGATGGCGGCCTGACTGTGGGTGGGTGGATAGGCAGGCACATGCTGTGCTGGTTTCTCCGTCTAACCCTCCCTGTCTTCCTTTTCCCCCAAATCCCTCAAGTGCTGGGGCTCGTGATGGCCTCTCCTTGCCACCCATCATCTCTGCTTCCTTTGGCCCATGTTTTTTCTTTCCTTGCAGGGTGATTGTTGAACAGAACGTCCCCTCCCCCAGTGTGGAGCCCCAGAGCCGAAATCCCTCTGCCTGGGCTTTCTAGGTGGAGGCAGGAAAAGGCTGAACAGGCTGGCACTCTCGGGTGGTGAGGTGTGAGAAGGGGAAATGCAGCGGGGGGCCTGAGAGGGGCCCACCGGGTCTTAGCCCAGGGTTTTCGAGCAGAGTGGGCAGTGGGCTGGAGAACCTGAGTGGTGTTGGCTGGGCTCCAGGATGTGCAATGAGTGTCAGTGGGCAAGAGGAGGAAAAGACATGGTTCTAATAAATGTTTGTAGGGTAGATTAATTAATGAATGCAGAAACAGTGTTTGATATCTACTAAAGAGCTGACAGAAAATCGAGAAAACTAAAAACTTGGTTGGGTCTACTGTCAGTACTCTTTATAGCAATGTATGCAAATCTCATATACGGCTTGTTACCCTGGTCATTCATCCTACAGTGGTTCATCCATTCCGTCACCTACTGTGTAGACAGCAGTGTGTGTGTGTGTGTGTGTGTGTGTGTGTGTGTGTGTGTGTGTGTGTGTTAGGTGGACTTGATAATGAACAAGATAAGGAACTTAGTATGGAGTTCTGAAGGTAAGAAAGACACACAGATGGTGTCTAAGTGGGATATAATGCACGAATGCCCCCAGAGCTACAAACAGGCAGAGGAGGGAGGTTGCAGACCCCGAGCCGAGTGCGAGCGTTACTGCACACCATCAACCTTCCTCGGATGCCTGGGGGAGGTGTGGCTGACAGCCCCCAGCCATGGGCCAGACCTGAGCCCTGACCCACATGAGGGGGCCAAGCTCCTTCCAGCTCTGGAATTCCGCCGTGCAGGCGCTGTGACTCCTGCCTGGGACGGGTCTGAGGAGCTGTCCTGGACGAGGACCCTGGGCCCAGTCGGTGGCTCTGGGTGTCATTAATCAGCACCAGATGTGCATTGTGGGTTTTCCTTTGAGCGCGAAACCCTCCTCTCGTCTGCGCAGCCAGCTGTTGGTGATGAGGTCTGGTCATATGGTTTACATCATTAAAACACTAGAGGGAACGTTAGTCACTACAGGGCACAGAGGGGACAGCACACATTCCCACTCCTAGCAGCATAACTCAGAGCCCGCCCTGGTCACACTCCAGTGCAAAGCGCGCCCGGGACTGTGCCCCTCCTGGGTGCAAATGGGTCTGCACTGAAGTCAGGCGGCTCCTGTTATTCACACACACGCCCCGCTTTGTGGGCTCAGGGAAACCTGAGAAGGGAGGTCAGTGCTCTCCCAGCTCCCACACTCTCACATACGACCCTGTGTGCTGCAGAAAGCAGGGTCAGAGCCACAGGATGCCACCAGTGCTTGTGTCCTGCTTCTGAGAGTTCCCAGGAGCGGAGGGGGCTTTGCAAAGCAGGTGTTTGGCTTCCACCCGAAGCCAGCAGGCCTGGACGTCTCCTGGAAGCAGACAGAGTCGTTGGGCAGCAAAGACTTCTGGAACTCTTTTCTGAGCAGACATAAGTCCTGATTGAGGGGGTCAGGGTGCAGGAGTGGGGTACGTGAGCCACCCTCTGGCTGAGGGCACCACAACTGTGGCTTGGGGCTTTCACAGGTATATTAGAACACTCTCTCACCGCCCCTCCCCCAAGAACACATAGGGAAGCTGTCATCAGATCACTCTCTTCAAAGCAGATTAAATTTGCTAAATAACATTTATTAAGTTCCTGGATTGGAAATGTGAGAACAAGGTAAAATTAAGCTGATTATTTAACTCCAATATCTTTCTATATAAAATTCCTCTGTATAAGGAGAGAACCATTGTTTTCCTGCCCCTCAAATATACATTAGTGTGAAATGAATCATGGAGACGGAGGCACATCCTCATGTTCTTGCAGTTTCATTTCTCTCTGCTATTTTTTCTCAATTTTCACTAGCCAGAGATTCACTCTACTTAAAAGTAATTCCCTCCTTAAAATAAATACCTTTAAAATGTATATATGAGGGCCGGCCGAGTGGCGCGATGGTTAAGAACTCGCTTGGGACGCCAGAGGGCCCCGGTTCGGATCCCACATATGAGGGCCAGTGACACTGCCCTCCACAGCTAAGATGCTGAACGACAGCTCAACCTGGAGCTGGGCTGCCATGAGTCGCCGGCGACGGCGTGGGCTGCAGTCCCTGTGGCGGTGGGTTGCCATGGGCTACCGTGTTAAGCCGGCAGCCAGCGTGAGCGGCCAGCAGCCGCAGTGAGCAGCCGTCCAGAAGCCGGCGACTGATCTGCCTCGCCAGAGAGGAGCGCAATGATGGTGCCAACTTGGGCCAGTGAAGCAACGTCCTCCACAACTAGATTGAAGAACAAAACGACAGCAACTTGTCTGTTCCCCTTCCCCCAATTCCCCAGCACTGTTCCCATCCCCCCAATTCCCCAATAAAAATCTTTAAAAAAAAAATGTATATATGAATATTTTACAAGTAAAAGTATACGCTACTGCCATTGTTATGTATTCATTCTTTGAGTCCTCAAATATGACTGGGTACATTTTAGAGCTCACGTTGAGATGAGTCTGGAGGGAGGACTTCCGTGACAGTCATAACAGCAATGGCCGTAACGTTTGTTGGGCGCTTAGGTTGTACCAGTCACTGTACTAAGTAATTTGCTTCATCATCTTATTTAATCTACAGAACAACGCTTCAAGGTAAGATGCAGTTAATGTTACCACTCACTAAAGAAGAAGTGGAGAGGTCAACTCATTTGCGCAGAGTCACACGGCTTGGTCAAGTGGCAGAGCCAGGAAGTCCTATCAGTTCAGCCTCAGAGCAAGAAACTGTCATTCCCAGCAAACTATCATTTTTCACCAGTAAACTGTGATTTCCTCTCTAGTGCCTTCTCTATTTTGGGAGACTGAGAGTTTGCCCTGAAGCCCTTCCTCCCTCTGCCCAAGCCCTGAGCTCACCGTTTCAGGACTGCTCCATGGCCAAGGCCCTGCCAGAGCCGGTCCACACAGAGCAGTCTCCACCTAGCTTTTCTGGGGGTGTCTGCCCCCCATGTGCAGGCAGCTGGGAAGAGTGCCCTGTGTTAGCACAGGCAGCCCCACAGTGAGGCGATTCTGCTGAGGTGACACACGAGTCACCAAGACAGCCAGGCAGAGTGTGCCATCGTAGGACTTACAGCCCTTGTCATCTGTCCTGTCGGGAAACGGGTCAAGAGGCCGGTTGCTCAAGGTACCTTCCTGTTCCCTCCACAGGCATGAATGCTTTACAGCTACAGAATCTGGCCACACTGGCAGCCGCTGCAGCCGCGGCCCAGACCTCAGCCACCACCACCAATGCAAACCCTCTCTCCACCACGAGCAGCGCCCTGGGAGCCCTCACAAGCCCCGGTAAGAGGCGTGGGAAGAGGGGCGCACAGGTCGACACGCACGGGGGCCAGGCCATGGAGCCCGGGAGCTTAACTGGGCATGGGAATAATTTATTTCTTCAGTGGTTTTTAAAGAACCAAAGTTTGAGTGTGCATGCATTTTATTTTCCAAGGATAAAATGAAAAAAAAAAAGTTTCTATGAGAGAATCCACCATGCTGGTGACTCTCACACATTCATTTAGTTTCAAAACTGTGTTGTCCATTTAGTCCTCGTTACACCTTCACCTTTGTGAAGATCCTCAATCTCTTAGTCATGCATTTTTCTCCTTTTTTTTTTAGCAGTTTAAGAATTCTCTGTTAAATCTCAAAATCTCTGATCATTCCAGTATTATATTTCACACCAGCTCCATCCTTTGATTTTAAAATCCAACGTCTAGAGGGACCATCTTTGTTGTTTGTTTCTGGTCATGTTCTGGGCTATGTCATTTAAAATCTTTTTTCCTCAGAAATGTTGGCGCCTTATTCAAAAGCAGATGCCATTTTTCTTTCATACAAGCCAGACATAATGTGGTCGCTTGGATACCATGATTTGTTTGTTAAGAAATGTTTCTCTGGCTTCTCTTCCTCTCTGAATTTTCAAGACCTTGATGAATGATCTCACTTCGTCCCCTGGTGCGTGGAGGGGTTGGCCTGGACAATCTCCAAACTCTCTCTAACTATGAAAACCCCCGTGACTCTCGATCGGCTATGCCCCAAAGATTGGCCAAGTGTTGAAAAAACTTATGTAATAGTGTGGGGTTTTCTTTCAGAAAAATAGAAAATGAAAACTACAGCACTCGGCAGACCAGCTGTTTTTAAGGCTTTTGACATCGGGGAGCAGTGAGGCCTGCTGGCAGGTTCAAAGGCAGTAGCCCTTTGGTTTGCTTATATAACACTGTGTACCTAATACATTTCCCTCTGAGCACAGTTTGGAGGGAGAAATCTAGGAGATATGTAGGAGAAGCTGGGGGATTTATCCTTAACGTGCTGTAATCTCATAGCAACAGCTCATGGATGCATCGACTTCATTCTCTAAAATGCCTTCAAAAACGCACTGTTACGCTATGTGGGCCTGGTCTCCTGCCACAAACAGTATTCCTGAAATAGCAACTTGAAGTCATTGTTTTCAACAAATTAAGTGATAGCACTAATGCAGTAATACATTTGCTATTTAAATAAGTCTTTTAGTGACTCTTTTAAATAAATAAACATTTTGACATGATAACTTCCCCCTTATATGAAACTAGTGGTTTTCTTAAAAACAGAGGTAAAAATTGACCTGTCTAATGTATCTGTTTTATAAATGAGATTGAAAAGTATTTTCTCAAATAAGAATTTTTATCTGCCCTGTGAAGACCATGAAATGATTACAGAGTATTATACACACATTTTATTGTCTTTAATCAAAAGCTGGTATTTTTAGCTATGTTTTGCTTGGACAGAAAACACTAAAAGTCACTCAAAATCTGAACACTTTTTATTTGTTTATATAAAAATGAAGGATTGGCTCTTTTTTTAAAAGAGAAAGCAATATTAACTTTATCTTGGCAAAAGTAAACTTTTGTACTTTTTCCAAATGTGGCCTTTATCTTCTCTTTTATTGAAAATAATCAGCAGAAACTGACCAAATCATTGGTAACAAGGGAGGAAAAAGAAGACTCTTTTTCTTGGGAAGACACTCTTCCTTGTATGGCAAGGAGCCATCTAGCCCACAGCCATAAAGAACTTAACTTGGACATCTTCAGTAGTGTAGTTAAAATTATTCTGCTGTTCCAACAGTTGGGTTGAAGGGTATACAGCCTGTTGTTTGCTTGGGAGGCTGCATTTGACTTTACTAAAACGTATTCTTCTGTTGTGTATTTGGGCTGGAATGCCTTGGTTCTGGTAAATCAGATTTGATATCCAAACATTTCATTCTTCTTTCAAAGAAGACTTGTCTGTTTAAGAACCCAATGTAAAAGCAGACGTGAGCTGATCAGTGTGACAGAGTGATTGACAGGTGATGCTTCTTAAGTGTTGGGATCGTGTTAGGTGCTGCCTGAGGAGCTGCAGACCCTGTGAGCAGAAGAGATGTGCTCCCTGCTCTCGGGAGTGGCCCGGCCTGTGTAGGGGTGGACAAGCCTGTGCCTTGTAGGTGATGGACCAGAGCTGTGAAGAGAGACCAGGCCAATAGGTGGAGAGAGTGTAGGGGTTGAATTAAATCTGAAAAGGTTGACACCTGAGCAGGAACCTGAATAAAAGGAAGGAAGCCATATAGATATGAAGGGCAGAGGATGAGCAAGTGTAAAGGCTGCGACGCGGTGGCAGCTTGGCAGATTGCAAACTAGCAAGGAAGCCATTCTGCTGAGCATAGGGTGGGATGAGAGGTGAGGAGTGAGAGGTGAAGTCCGAGTCCATGGACCCACATCCATTCCCTCCAGTGTGGTCAGGAACACAAATATGTCACAAGCTTCTTAAAATGCAAGGTACTCAAGACAGCCTAGGAAGATGGCTGAAGCAGTCGATGAACTTTAACCATATTTTCAGTTGTTTCCTGAGACCTTAATGAAAGGGACATGTATCCTGAGATGAATTTCCTTCCTTTCTGCTCTTGTTAGAACCCACCACTGGCAAGGTGTCCTTCCCTTTGCTCTTACGGCGCGCGGTCTGCCCCTCCGTAAATTCTGCTAACTGAGGTAGCATTTAATGTGAATTTTCTCCTCTGCTGAGGAATGCTTTGCATAATAGCTGAAAGTATTGCATCAGAATCCTGAAGGGTAGCTGCAAAAAAACGATTTAAATCTACATTTCAATTATTTTTCTTAAGTGTTAACTAAAAAAATCCAGCGTTTAAGTGAAAGTAAATTATTTGTCTAATTTCCATCAGGGACTTTTTCAAAGTCACACAAAACGCGGTTAGTAGAATTCATAACTCTCCACTTTATCAAAGCAATTTCCTATGAAATAAAAAGGGTTGGAAGCAGTTCCCAAGGCCAATGCCATTACTTATTTTTTAAATAACAGAAACGTGGGCTTACTATTGTTCCATTAACAAGTCCAGTCAAACTGAAATGCGTTGCTCCCGCACAGGCCTTGGCTTCACCGTGTCTTTAAAGATGTCTCTTATGCTCCAGACAAATCTATCTAGAAAGGAAAGGGACAAGTCAATCCCCCAAACTATTAATTCTTTTAATAATTGTAAATTTATCATTTCAATTTTGCATACCCAGGAACAGTCTCCCTACAGCATTATTATAAATGATATTAAAACTGTCTATGTTTTAAAACATGAAAGATTAGGCTTTAATTTTTGTTAAAAAAAGAAATCCCCTTAGGCAATAAATAGGTTCCTTTGTCTCATGGCCTTGAAATAAAAATTAAAATGGTCTAAATTGCCCATGGTTAGAATAAGTGTTTCATGCAATTATCAGATGGTAGTGAATAAAATTAGGAATTAAATCATGAAAGAATAAAAGCAGGTAAATGCATATTATCCCTTTTATAACTTTCTGGGTCTTTTGAAGCCCAATTTAATTGTGTTTCTTGTCCTTTATTTCGATATGATAATTTTTCCTTTGTTTACTTCAATCTCCTATTTAGTTAATTAATTCTTGGGTCATTTCTTCTTACCCAATTTTGAACCTGTTTTTGAGGAATGTGTGTCTGTGTTGGTATAAAGAGGCAGATTGTCCCTAAAGTGTGCAGCTAGGTCTTAAAGAAAGATAATAATATTTGTCTTCTACCCAGCTTGTCGATGGGTTGTTTAATTTTGAGGGCTTGAGAGAAAGCATTGTTATTACCACATATGAACATTTCTTTGCATTTTCTGTCTAAAATATAATATTGCATTCATGTATCACATTATTCCACTGACCTTCTTCTATTTCCCTTTAAAAAAAAAAAAAAAGAATGTTTTAAAATTCTCCAAATGCTCCCATAAGTGCACTCAATCTCGTGAATGCTTCTGGATAATAGATAATTTCTTTCGATAGTGTAAGGCATTTTAAAATGCTAAGGAAGCGTTTTTCCATTCCCACCATTGACTTTGCAAATACTTTTCACTTTAAATTCTAGGCAATATTTTTTCCCCATATTCAAGATGTTGCCTGCCTCTTGAAGGCTGTGATAGACTCAACAAAAACCCAAGGAAATGGTGGCTTCCTTGTGGACTCTTTAAGGTTAACAGAGACAGGAGGTGTTTCGTGTGAGTCAGGCTCTTCCTGTACTCACCTAATGACTAAGGAGCAGTCACCTTCAGTGTCACGCACCCATGTCACCAGGGCAGTGGTGCAGAAAAGCAGCCGGCTGAACGGCTGGTTGAGCAAAGGGAAACATGAAATTGTCCCCAAACTTTTCAGTGTTACGAGAGGCTTCCGTCCCCGCCTCCCTTCACTGTGTCTGCATGTGTGTCACTCAGGAGCTCGCGTCATGTGAAGAGATGGGATTCAGGCTGACATCACTCACATTTTCGAGCCTTCTGCTTTGTGCAGGACAAAGACATGAAAATGAGTTGGGCCCCCTCCAAGCCATCACACGCAAAGGACAGTAAAACAGGGTGGCGTCTAATGGGACCAGGAGGGAGGGACAGACAGACAGAACAGGTGCTGGGAGAGGCCACTCCCGGCGGCTACCTCAGTGATACGGCAACCTCAGGAAGTCGAAAAGTACACTTCTCCCACAGACCTGTTCTTGCCCCTGTAAGTGTGTCGTCACCATCACGTCACCTGTCCTCAGCCATGGGAGCCATCTTTACACCCGGCCTCGGGTTCAGTTGCACCTCATCGGTCACCACACCCACTTGGTTCTCTCTCTGAAACATCTCTTTTTCCCGCTCCAGTTCATACTCCCTGGGTGAGGCCCTTTTCCCCTCCCGCTGTACTGTTGGGACAGCCTCCTACTCCACTTCTGCCCTCTGTCCATTTTACACACTGTTGGCAAAACAAAAAGGCTCTGTTCACACACTTTCTGTGTGGGTCACCGCAGTGTAGATGGAGTAAACAAAC